AGTTCACTCTCAGCCAGGTACTCCTAAATATGCATATCAATGCCCAGAAGCTAAACCAAGGCTGACTGGCAACACCAGGAAGCAGAGGGAGCTTTCACAGAGTTCAAGCCCAAGATGAGAGCAGGGCTACAGAACGAAGACCCATAACACACATCCGATCCAGGACAAAGACATCACAGCCCCTTGAACCCGGAACCTAGGTGGAAAGGGCACCTTTCCACCTCTCGGGTTTCAGAACCTGGGCAAAACAGGTGGTCCCTTTGACCTGGCACTTGGACACTGGCTTTCCCCCTCGAGCTTAGAGCTTATAGCCCCTTCGAATCCGGAACCCAGCTGGGAGGTTGCCTTCACTATACAGCCCCTCGAATCCAGAACTCAGCTAGAAGGTCGCCTTCACCATCAGACTCGGAACACAGGCAGAAGCCCCATCGAATCTGACGCCCAATTAGAAGGTTGCCCCCACCCCATCAGACTCGGAACCCAGGCAGAAGGCTACCCCCAAGCCCATCAGACTCGGAACCCAGGCAAGCAAGCTCGTCTAGCTCAGAACCAAGGAGTGCATGCAGTCCCTCAGGTCAGGCACCTGGACCCAGGGACATCGGCCTTGGGAACCCCAGTCATCACCAAGAGATCCCAGCCGACAAAGCCGAATTACGCGTCCGCCCAGACTCTGTAATGTCAGCTGCCGACTCCCAACCTCTCCGGAGACTTTCGGCCATCCTGCTAGCTCAGAAAATTAATTTAGAGAAACTTTCTCTCGCTGTATTCAAATTAGAATTTAGGCGTGCCACTCATAGGTCCCATTGAATCTAGGTAAGAGGCCTTCTTACAAAGTTCTCACAGTTCAAGATTTTGCAGCCAATTTAACTATCCTAGCAAGCATTTAACTTATAGCCGGCAGACACAAAAACATACAACAGTTTCAAGACAAGATAGACACACAGTTAACAAAGTAGGCCAACTAAAAGAAAAATCATTCGGAGGGAACACACCTACTCCTCCTTAGCAAACCGATGCCTTAGCTGGAGAGGCCTTTCAGCCCACTCACCAGGCAAACACTTAACCCATTCAGGGCTTTCTGACCCCATACTGGGCCCCAAAGCAAAATTCAGCTGAAAAAGGCAACTGATCAGATAAAACTGGCTGGTAAAGAAAAGTTAGGTGACACTCACCACACACGCCATTAGTCTTGATGACCTGGGGATCCCGGACGAGCCCCCAAATGTTGTGCCGGGTTTTTGAAACCCCCACATAATCATCAAGTCTGAAGTCGGTGCTGAGGCAAAAAGGTGGTTTATTCAGGTTAGCCTAGGTAACCCAGCAACCTCCCCCAGCCCAGCGGGGGAGGGGCAGCCGCAGCCGAGGCTGCAAGGATCCACAAGGAGGACAAAAGAAGCGCGAGCCAGAAGAGCCAAGGGAAGAGCGAGAGCCCAAGCCCCCCAGTTCTTATACATTTCAGGCTATTAATTATACAGTCATGATTTAGTAGGCTTCTATTGGTGGGTTTGAAACAAGCAACTTTCAAAAAGTACAAATCAATGAGCTATTGGGCTGTGAAACTTATCAAACACCAGGTACCTCCTTCCTGAGGAGTGGTCTGCCTATTTGACCTGCCAGGTGTCACGTAGACTATCAGGCCTGAGGTTCACACAGCCCCCAGCCAAGCCATTAAGGCAGAATCACAAAAGGCAGAAAATGTCTAGGTTCTTCAGATGTATGCCACCCCATATCAGAACACTAGTCTATTACAGCCACTTTGTCTGTGACCAAGTCACAGCTAATGCATCTGGGAAAGCAGCAAAAGACAGGCCAAAGGCTGGGTCCCTGCACCCACATGGGAGACCTGGTAGATTTCCTGGCTCCTGGTTTTGGTCTGACCCAGTCCTGACTATTGTTGTCACTGCAAATACGAACTGGAGATGGAAGATCTCTCCATCTTGCCCTCCCCCTACCTTTTAAATTTATGTTTAACTTTTTGTTCAGATTTTCACAGATTTACTTGAGTTCACAGAGAGCTAATAAACATTTTTCCTGATTATTGCAGAATCTCACAAACAGTTTTCAAATTAAGCTTGGACTTGTGACTGACATTTGATATGTATTGCAAGAATAAGTTGGTTAAAGCTGAGATGCTCCAGGGTTTTTATTGAAATGATGGTGCAGGTTTCCGTACCTTCCTGTGTAGGACTTTGGCACTTGGTGTCAGGTGTCTCCACAGAGGGTGTCCAGCTAGGACTGCAGTGGGCAAAGGAGGAGCTAGGGGGAACCAAGGGAGAGGAAGAGAAAAGAGAGGCCTTCCTCCTTATTGCCTGTCAATGGCCTCAGGGGAGTCAACTCCCTGCGCAATCTGGATGTGAGCAGTGAGGGAGAGAGATGCAGACAGAGTGATCTTGTATGCATTCACTCATTATTCTAAAGATTGCAATGGCTGGGCCTCCTATACATGATGGTTTTATCTGATATGCTGCTAGGCCAGCTGCAAGCACAGCCCCAAAGAAGTGAATTTCGAAGGTTCTAATCATTTCCAGCAGCCCAATTAGCATTTCAAATTTTGAGTTTAGGCAACAGTGTTGTAGCATAATGAATAAAGGCACTATCTGTGATGGCAGCATTCCATATGATGGCAGTTCAGGAGCCAACTGCTGTATGTCTGATACAGCTTTCTGCTTGTGGCCTGGGAAAGCAGTGGATGGTGATCTGAGCCCCTGGAGAGACTCTGGGGAACATTTGAGATCCAGGAGAAACTCCTGGATCCTGGCTATGGATGATTCGATTTCTTATAATCATGGCCAATTGGGAAATGAATCAGCAGATGGAAGATCTTTCTGACTCTCCTTCTTTCTGTAAACCTGCATTTCAAATAAAATTGAAGATGCCTTAATTTCTGTGGCCCCCACTTCCCACCCCATGAAATGTCCCAGAACTGATGTTTGCAGCTAAAGTTGGAGATTCAGATATGCAGATCATGCCCACTCTTCCCTTGTGGGACATGGCCTTGGCACCTCAGGAATGGCGGGCAGTTGCAGGGATGTGCCCCCTTAGGTCTTGCTTGTCTGGGTCTGCTCCTCACAAGAAGCTATACAGTAAGGCCGACAGCCTCACAGCTCCATGCCGATAGGTGATGGTTAAGGCAGCCCAGAGTGTTGACCCCTGCCTCTCTCCACACCTGGCTAAGGCCGTGCCCCAGGGAAGTCATGCATTTGACAATCCAGTATAGTCCGTGAGTAGACACTGGGAGTTTATAGAAGCTCTTTCTCTCTGTGTTTGTCTCCAAAAGAATCCAAATCCTGGTAAGTTGCCATGGTGTCCAGTCCCCACGAAGTGGTGAGAAGCTCTGGAGGAGTTTGTCACCTGTGGCCTGTTATGCTTCTGGGCAAACAGCAATTCTATCTTGCCTTTCTTCAGTCTGTCCTGCTCCTCCAGTTATTAATATTTACTTATAACAAGTGTGGCAGTGTTTTATTTGTGCCCATATGGGTAGCTTCCAGCTCTTGCAGACCCTTGTGGGCATCTGGGATGCTGTCCACCACCACGTGGGAATAGATCTTTCTGTCCCTAGGCCCAACTCCCATCTTGAGCACAGCCTGAGGCCCGAGACTGGCCCCTTGCCACATCCCCCTCCACCTCCATTGCCCACCACTTTCTAGGCCTCATGAGGACTCTCTCTCAGCTGAGATTGCAGTGCTCTGTCTCCCCAGAAGAGATTTGCAAGGGGGCAGCAGTGCAAAGACACTGTCCTGTTGTGCTCCTGTATGACACCGTTACTTCTTTGTATTACCTGTTTTAAATCCTCTCTGCTTGCCCGCAATGGTGTTGTGCACAATTGCAGAGGGACTTGCCTGCACGTGGAGGTCAGACATCTCACACCAATTATAATTATAATTATAATATAATAATAATATTATAATATATTATAATAATTAATAATATAATATAATAATAATAATTATAATATAATTATATAATATAATTATAATATAATATAAATATTATATTAATATAATATTATATTATATTATATATATTTTCATATTATATATAATATGAAATATAATATATATAATATGAAATATAATATATTATATAATTTATATATTATATAATATATTATATTATATATAATAATATATATATAATATAATAATATAATATATATAATAATAATTATATATTAATATATATATTAATATAGATATTATATAATAATATATATTATTATAATATATATTATTATAATATACATTATATATTCTATATAATATATAATATATATAATAATAATATATATATAATAAATTATATATTATTATATAATAATTATATATATTATATAATAATATATATATAATATTATATTATATGATTATATATTATATTATATTATATAATATTATATTATATTATATCTTTATGTATATATATATATGAAATCATAAATACAAAGAGGAGAAGAGACAGAGAGGAAATCTCTCTGTCTTTTGATTCACTCCCAAGTGAACACAATAGGCCAAGATGTTTCAGTATAAAAATTAACATCAGGAATTTCTTCCTGGTCCCCATTGTGGCTGTAGTACCCCAAGGATTGAGGTTGTCCTCAACTGCTTACCCAGGCCACAAGCAGGAAGCTGGAAGGCAGGTGGTTGAGTCAGGACATAAATTGATACTCATATTTGATCTCAGCGTGTCCAAGGTGAGGACTTTAGCCACTAGGCTGCCGTGCTAGGCCTTCCTGCAGCCTTTGGAGTTAAAACAGTAGCTGGTGATCTCTCCTGCTCTCTCTCTCTCCTGCTCTCTCTCTATCTCTTTCTCTCTCTCTCCCTGTGCTTGAGTCTCTCTATAACTCTTCCCTACTTTTGAGAAGTCTTTGCTTTTGCTAAGTTAAAATCACATTTGAATTGGACTTTGACAGCTGTTACTTTCCATTTGACTCCTTAGAGTTCAATGACAAATATTCCCCAGGCGAATACTTTACTTATTTTGAAAGCAACAATGCTACTTACCTCTCACTGTTGTGAGTTCTTCCATTTTCTTCCCTACTTTTCCTTCCACTGCTTCCTTTGATACCCAGCTTCTGGCCATACTCATCCCCATACCATATTAGAAGCTCATAGCCTAGTTTGATGACTTGGCAGGTGCGGTAAAATATCTGTCTGTGGTATTGGAAGGCCACCAAATTCTTCTCCTCATCATTCCAGGCACAGTTCACATACCTGGGTCAGAGATAAATGCAGAGTTCCCATGTGCTGTTACACTTGAATCTCATCTGTGCTCTGATAGCCTCTCTCCTGCTTGTAGTCCAATTCTGTAAGAGCTCTCCTTGCAAACATGTATCTCTTTCGTGAGATCAATGAAGTCCCACATCCAAGATACAGATACCATATTTGTTCTGACAAGCATGATTTGCTACTTCCTTTCCTCACTAGTCATACTCAAAACCCTACTCGACCTTTCTCCTTGACGGCCATGAAGCACACAGTATCACTAAACTCCAACTTTCATTCAGTTTTATGCCACACAATATGGTGAGTGTACACTGGCTAACTCTAGCCTACCACACATGCTGCACAACTCAGATTTTCCAAAGGCAATTCTTTGAAGTCCTTTCTCTTGGATCTTTCTTCTGTACCTTGGGAGTCTCTGGGAGTTTTTTAGCCTCTCCCAGAACTGCTCTCAGAAACAATTGTAGAGATGCAGCTTCCTTCTCTCATCCACATCTCCAGTTTTGTTTTGTTTAGTTGGTAAAGATTATTATGATTATTTTCTATTTGAGTGTCAGAGACACAAAGAAGAGAAGGGGCAGAAGACAGAGATACCAAGAAAAAGCATGGAGTGGAGAGATAAAAAGGACACAGTGTCAGGCAGTAGCGTCAACCAGGTCTTCCACATGGGTGCAGAACTCAAAAAATGAGGACATCCTCTAAAGGTTCTTAGGACGCATAAGGAAGCAACTGGTTTGGCCGTAGGGTAACCGGTACTTGTAATGTAGGCACACCAGTCCTTATTTTAGCCCACTGAATGACAATGTTTGTCCCAGAAACTGGCTCTTTTCTCTCTCTCTCTCTCTCTCATTTTTTTTCCCACTGTGCCTGGTAAGGTTTATGTCTCATAAATTAAAGGTCTTATGTATCAAGTTGTTTGGAGAGTGCATAATTTTCAAAAGACTAAAAACCATTACTTTTAGGGCACCAATTTAATGCAATGTCCATGTATTAGGATATTTTAAGCAGGAAAGGCATAACAAATGATAATTAGAGAGAGAGTGAGTCAATGCCCCAGTTGATATAAATTCCTCAAGGCCCATTTTTGTGTCCATTTATTCAACAAATTATTTTATATTATGATAGAAATAGTATTTATATAGAAAGTGCTTTTACAAACTGGTCATGGTATTCAAAGGTCATTCAGATAGACATCAAAGAGGACATATCATGTAAAAGTCACTGAGGAAAGTAGAGGAGAAATGACAGTGATTTGTTTTTGAGAGAAATGTTGTCTCCAGATGTAAAAAGCATAGCTCTTGCCTCATCCAGTTGGCCAAAGAAGTATTCTTTCCATCCATGTACTCATAGCTGTTTCTTCTCTTGGCTAGTTGAGATTCAGAAAAATCAGTTAATATGTTTCTGGAAAGGGAATAGTTCAGCCGAATTATTAACTCAACTACCATCATATTCCATGATATTCCATGAGTCCAACCACATGTTGAGACATAACATACTGTTAGTATACACCTAATCTGATTTGTTTCCTTACAGTAGAAGCCCACAGCTGAGATTGAACTGCTTTGGTTTTACAGCCCAGTGATCTCATCAATGCTAATCTTCAGTAAGGATTCTGTGATGTAATCATGTTGGCTCCACTCATGCCATAATGTGTAGAAGAACACATGAACCGGACACATGAGCCAATCTAACAGCAGGCAGATGGAAAGCCACCAGACTGGAAAGGGATGTACTTCTTACCTGCCAGCTGTACCCACTATTGGCTTCTTGTTCCACTTCTGTGATCTTGCCCTCAAAAGGACCAGAGTGCAACCCCAGTGGTAGATCAGATGCTTCATTAAACACTCCAAGCCCAGCCTCAGGAATGCTGGATGGGCCAATTCTAAATACAGTTCGCACACTGAGGGAAGCGTGACTAGGACGTCCCTTATCCACGGTGATGTCCTTTAGAAACACTGGCGGTACATGAGCAGCACAGCTTTTCAGGAAGAACTTCTGACAGTTCTTACAATGTAGAGATGAGAATGGAATGGATTGGGAAAGGATACCAAACATTACAGGATATAGAGAGCATCAGAAGCAGCCTACTACGCACATCACTTAGCCTTGATATTTCAACCAAAGTTTCCAGATGACCGAATGATAGAAGACCAAATGTACAAGTGGAATTTGATTTCAGGCTATAGGATTTCTCTTTGTGGATGTGCTAAAGGGTCATTTACACAGGTAATCATCATCCTCCATGGTGCTCTGGGTAAAGAGTTCACTAAGTCAATAAGAATATGACTAACACTCCAGGGATTAGTGGGCAAGATGGTGGCCAAGAGACAACCCTGGGTATGAATCAGGGCAGGAGTCAAGTAGCTCCAAGGAAATGCTGATCAACCATGGCCATCTCACTCTCACACCATTGGATTATGGGAGGTGGATTCTACAGCCATTCTCTAGTAATTGGTTCCTAGTTTCTCTCCTCCTGGACTAACCCAAATTTCAGGCCTAATGTTATCCCTTACCCTATTTAGGAAATTGAATTTCCCTTATAAATTGGAACTGCTTAGACAGAAGCCCTATCCTTTCCTTTGCCTTTCACACGCCAGGGGACTGGATGGTGTGCAGCAGGCTCATCCCCTCCAGCAACAGGGTTCTAAAGGAATCTGTGGGGAAGACCCTGCAGAACATGCACCCAGCATGGATCATGAAGGCTGGACCTTCTCACCCCTTCACTGCATGGCTTTGAAAGAGAAGTGAGGAATGGCTGTAAATAGCTTCAGAGCAGTGTCTTACCAGAGAAGCACATTGGCAGGAAAGTCGTGGAACTTCAGGTGAGTCTCAAAGAAAAGAAGGTGACTTAAGGTACAGTATTCCTCCTCTCAAACAGGAGTGTATTTTGCAGAAGTGACCCTAGGCACCCCACAGCTCTGTACAATTGTGGGCAACAGCCAACGTGGTATAGCTATGGTCAAATCTCCTGAGAGTTTGTAAGGGAAGGGAGTTGTTAGGTGCCCAATTGGCTTCTTTCCTATTCTCTCTTCTTTTGCAGTGAGAGATGGACATGGATGCCTGAATCTAAGGTGAACCTGTTTGAGGACTGACAGTTTCTGGCCAAGGCAACACTTTGGCGTTACCTGAAACTCTGTTGGGGATCCCCTAGGCCAGACAAGCTGACTGGATATCCTAGTGCCTCTTATCTCTCACTTCTGCTTTGAGGGACAGCTGTGGATGCTTGGCTCTGGGGCGATCCTGTCAGAGGATTGATGGTTTCTGGCTGAGGCAAAGGTTCGGTGTCACCTGGAACTCTGTAGGGGATTGCCTGGGCTCAACAGCCTGATTGGATATTCTGAGCACTCTCCTCCCTGCTGTCTTCCTTTAGCCATGGGCAATAAAGGTGGGGAAATTGAGGATCCCACACTTAGGGTGCTAAAATACATGCTGAAATCCTGAGGGTTAGAAATCTCAGATAGTTAGGCAGTCAAGGCCTGAGGGACTGTGGTCACATTGGCACTGTGGTCACATTGCTTAATTTATTTGTACGTGATACTTGGGAATGAAATAAGAGCAAAACTGACGCCCAAAACACTGGTCCTGGCCCACCTCAGCCGCCCCAACAAGAGCTTCTGGGAAGCTTAGAGGGCAGGAAACCACCCCCAAGTTCAAGGGGAGTCCAGAGCATACAGCCCCAGGTGCAAGCCTTCTGGTGGGTCTCCACCAGCCAGTTCAGGATTTTCCATTGATGCCGTAAAGTGATGGCCCAGTGGCAGTGTGATATCTCTGCAATGCAGGAGGCTTGAGAAAGCTGTGGCAGAATTGAGCCTCACTCACCCTAGGCTGAGACTTGTCTTTAGGGTCTTGCTCACCAACCCTGTACCCCGGCAGGTTGGATAATATTTTGGGAGCCTGTATGACTCAGGAATTGCAAATAGTCTGGGAAAAGGTAAAAGAGCCTTTAGACAGAGCTAACATGAATGTCTCCTCAGAGAAGGTGCAAATAAACCCCTTCTTTCTTCAATTTTAGGGACAGAATTATGTTTTGAAAAGGTCTCCCACTTAAAACCCCAGCTAAGCGTTAAGGAAAAATATTCACCAGTAGAATTTCAAAAGCTTCTTGGAGAGGTCATTGGCTATGCCCTTGACTACCCATGTTTACAGGGCAATTAATGCCATTATTTGAAAAGGCAAAATGCTAGGAGACTGAGTTTCCCTCATGTACAAGCCTTACAGGAGACTCAAAAGTCCCTAGGCAAGGCAAGTTTTCATTATTGCCCAAAGAAAGAGTTACAACTGTGGACAAGCTGCCCTTGTCCGAGAGGATAATCCCTTCCCGTGTGTACATTTATGCATTGGAGGGGTGCCCAGTGATTATATTTGTCTTGATCAACTGGCAGATCTAATTCAGGATGTCAAAGGGCTAGCCCTTAGGTGTTAAGACTTTGAGACAGCAAAGCCTGTTGCCCCGATTGAATGAGTAATTGTGAATGAGTTTGAAGAAAGAGCAACAGGCTGGCAAGCCTCCCTTGAAGGTTATCTTGGCACGATTGACTGCCATTATGGGCCATAGAAGGGAGTCACCTTCTTCAATCTCTTGGAATGGGAGAATCCTGCCTTGTACCATCAAATCATGAAGATGGAGGAGGAGAAGTGGCTGCAGCAGAGGTTTTTCTATCTGATCATGTCTATAAGACCTATTTTGACCTACCCTGTGTCAAGGATCAACACAGTGTTAGGAACTATTTGCTGTAGTTTTAGCAAAACTTCTCTCAAAAGTGAAAGAATTTTTTAATCTATTCACTGATAGCCTTTATGTTGTAAATTTGTACCCAGAAATAGCTCAGGCATACATAAGATTGAATAATAATCCCATCATTCCTCATGATCCAGGCCCAACCTTTGCTTCAAGGACAGACCCATCCTCCTCTTGCTGAAGGTCTCCATTTGCTTTCCTCATAGGATAGTACACAGAGATGTCCTCTCCATTGTAACCATTTTAACCTTTGTTCTAACCTGTTTTTCCAGTTTTTCTTGACTTAACCACACTGTCACCCTCAGTATCTAAATTTCTCTAGCTTTACCTCATAGCCCTCACAAATAGCTGAGAGGGGCGAACTAAGAAATAAGTGATTTAACATCCAGAAGAAGCAGGGAAAAAAAAAAAAGAAAAATTCTGCATCTTGATATATTTATATTTGTATATATATGCATTCTGATATAGACTGGTCAAATCCACTGTTAAATTAACCCAAAGCATGAGATGAACCTATGGCTTGCTTTATAAAACATTTCCAGGTTAAAATATGTCAAAGAAGAATTTGAAGGTGCAAAATGTTTGACAGTTAAATGTCTCTCTGATGTGTTAGGATTGTGCATATGCTTATTTATTCATTATTGTTGGTGTTCTATTTTAGTCTGGAGAAAAACTAGACTTTGATTTAATACTCTTTTTCCAGTTATATATTTGTCTTAAATTGTTAAGTTATTGTTCTTGTTGAGAATTGGGTGCGTGTATGACTGACTGACAGACGAGATGGGATGGATCATGACTAACCCCTTTTTCTCTCTCCTGATAAAAAACTTTAAAGAGGTCTAACCTATCTAACAGGACTTGGCCAGACCAGACTCGCCTTCTCCTCTGAGGAAAAGTTTATATACTGGGTTTTTGCTGCTTAGTCTTCAACTTGCAGTGTTGTCCTGGCACCGATCAGGACTAAAACACAGTATCCGTTAAATTGTTCAGTTAAATGTTAAATGTAATTTTTCTTTAACTAATTTACACTTCTAAAATCTTCAGAGTTTGAAACCAGGTCTCAAGACTTTGAAAGTTCTAGGATACCTAGAACTCTCAAAGATTGAGACAAAATTTTGATAATATAATTGTCATTTAAAATCATTTGTATTATAATCTCACAATATTATTAAATTATGTTAAATTTGTTGCATTGTATAAGCTATTAAAGTAAATTAGCTTTTATGTTCATTGGTCAAAATGTTTCCTAATCATGAAATTGGCTCTGATTGCAAATTATTTGTGTTCTTATTTACAGAGAATTATGTGAGAGTTTGCCTTACAGGAAAACAACTAATTCTTTTGAAATGTATAGTGTAATTGGTTGTCACATGTATCATTTCTGAATTTTGCCTTTAAGAAAATGGAATTAAAATCTGATTCATATTGAAGAACAACAGTATTTTAACATCACCTTTATACTAATTTTCATCTTATTGATAACTAATAGGTTCCTAGATACTCTCTTAAGACAACAGTCAAATAGAAGTGTTTTGCCTCTTTTGACTTCAAATAAACAGAAGCTAAGGAGATGCTGCAGGCCTACCAGCCATGGAAAAGGGAGGAGCATGCTAGGAGCTGTCCTTTGTAAGGAATTTAGAACCCTGGATTCCTTCAGGTACTCATTGTGATTCTTATCTGCCTTCTTTTGAGGAGAGAGGATTCCCAAATCAGCTAGAATAGGATCATTTGAAAAACTTCTCTTTCCCAGTTTTAAGGCAGGTTGTGTTAAAATGTGTTTCCACAAATTGAAAGAAATGCTTACAAATTGCTTAAAGCAATTGCATTTAAAATTTGGTATGCTTTTATTTAGAGAATGTTTAATTTGGAGCCTTATATGATTGTTTCAAAATGTAAATCAAGAAAATTAGCAGATTATTAAGGAAGAGAATAGCTTGTAGAACATTTTGTCCTACAGAAATATGGCTATCATGCAATGGAAAGAAAAAGCTGGGATAAAATACTTAAAGGATTCAGCTTGCTGAAAATGAGTCTTGTAAGTTTTACTTATATAACTGTCTATACTTTTTAAGATACAACTGCAACTGTTTAAATATTTGACATTAATATCTAATGTATGCTGACATTAGAATTGAGTGTGCATACATAGAAATGCTAGTAAATATCTGAAAAATGTCAGAGGAGGGTTCTGGCATGATAGCTTAGCAGTTAGAGTCTGGGGCAGTAGCCTGGTGACTGAAGTCCTCACTATAAACATGCCAGGATAAATATGGACATCAGTTCTAATACTAGCAGCTCTGTTTCTGATCCAGCTCACAGCTTGTGTCCTGGGAAAGCAGTAGAGACAGGCCAAGGTGTTGAGACCCTGCACCCATGTGAGAGTCCAGGAAGATGCTCCCAGCCTTGGACTGGCTCAGCACCAGCCATTGCAGTGCAAGAGTGTGATCTCTTTGCCCCTGAGCCCCACAATTCTCAGACTCACTTAACTCTTGGTATGTCTGACCCTTTCTTTCTTGTAAGTTGTACATCTGAAATTCTTCATTCTCATCTTTTCTTCTGACTACTGAGATGGAAAAACAAAGTCAGTGAGTTATCAGTAATTTTGTGATTCATGTTTTAGTAAAAGAAAGGGCTTTCAAGACAAGGAAAACTGTATGGAGATTTTTTTTTCATGAAAAATCTCTGGTTTTCATTCATTTCTCCTGACATTGGAACAGCTGTTTATTTAAAAGACAAAGAAAGACACATATAGAGATTGACACATCGGTTGAGGCAGAAAACACGATGGCAGAAGGGGGTGTGGAAGTTCACTGTTTAAGTGACCTTGATAACAAGCAATCTATTCTCAGGTCAGAAAGCTTTATCCAGTTCTCCCAGGAGGGTGGTAAGATCTGAATCCCTTGTCTCATCACCAAGCAACACTAAGTTGTATATTAACAATATGGTAGAGTCAGAGAGAGGGTTGAACTCAGGTACTCTGCCATGGGAAACAGGCGTATTAACTAGCATCTTCACTCCCAGGAAAACTGACTTCCTCTCTATAAAGTTTTTACATATAACCTAAGTAACCTGATCCCATTTTGTTTCTTGGATCAGCCCCCAATGAGCCTAAAATATAATCATGTTTCTAGAGGCTCTATTCGTTTTGTGTTGAGTTTGACCCAAGCATGCAATTGCACCTCTCACAGCTTGACCATCCTCATCAATCCTCACCCTCCTTGGACTTCCTAATGGGCCTGGAGAGACAACTCCTGAAATCATCGTTCTTGTGAAAGATTTGTGTAGAGTGTTCTTCTGAGATGTTTGATTCTTTATGATGAAACCCTGCTTTGCAGCCTTTCTTTAAGCAGTTGTGTTTAGTAAATTTGCTATTCCTGATGATTCCTTCACACTCATTGCATTATGTGAAGGCCTGTTTGGCTTTCGCTATAATGACAAAGTAACATTTTTGCTTTGAAACTCACTATTCAGTTTAGTTATCTTTGGGATTCCTAAGTGTTTTCAGGTGCATGGCATTCTTTAATCTATCAGCAAACATGGGAACTATCTGAGGTGTTTGAATACTGAATGGAAAAGCAGTGTCTGTATTTCTCGTGTATTTGGGGCTATTTTCCTCCATATGTTTTCCACTTTCTCTGCACAGGTGAGGAAGAGGTGAAATCAGATGATTGTTCTAAAAGATAGACCATAATAAAAGCTGAAAATGATAGTGTTCATTCAGAGAATATTTGATTTGGCGATTGGATGAACTGGTGCCTATATCAATTTGCTTTAATCCAGGTCTACTCTCATCCACCTCTCCATAGCTACTCTTCCTGATCTGTAATATGCATACATATATTTTAGATATTATGTACTCATTCTCCAGCCCAGTCACTGACAACTGGTTGGAAGACTACTGCCAATAACTGTGATGCCTGGGGTGCCTCTCAAAGTAAGCACCAGCTCATAGTGGATCCTGTCAGAGAAACGAGATTCTTGTTTTTGCTATTGCTGCCAGGTTTCCAGTAAGAACCTGTGGCACACAGAGGCATGAAGTGCTCGGTGGCAGTTCATCCTTAGCTCACAAGGATCAGGGCTCTCACTATACTGAGGACGGAGGCCCTCCTTCTGTCCACCACTTAACGATTAACATGTACCAGGAGCTCCTATTTTAGGATGTATTGGGACATTGTGATCCAGTAATAATAACCCAGCTGTGTATTGTGCAGGTCTGAATTCCAGTCCCACATGATGGGACTCGAGTTCGATATTTATGATTCTGTCGTATATTCAAATAGCCCTGAGGCTGTGATGCTTGCTCTTCATTTATTTCCTATGAGCTGCGAAAAAGAAATATCTGGACAAGTCTTGGAAGACAGTAGATCTATGTAACAATATTTTAAGCAGCACCCAACAAAAAAAGATTTCTCCTTTGCACTGCCTATTCTTTCCATATTCCCCTTGCTTTTGGCTCTCTTGCACACACACACACACACACACACACACACACACACACACACACACACACACAGTGAGTTTTTCTTGTGCAAGATCCTTAATATTTAGTTTTTGAACCATTCCCAGATATCTCCCATGATCTGTGATAAGGATGAAGACATCCTAAGCTACATGACCAATCTACAGGTCAGTTCCTTGAGCCTCAGCCTAGTCCTATGCAGAAGGCACTGTGAGTAACAGAAGTAGTTTAGAACAGCTGAAAGGAGACTCACTGGTGAAAATCAGCATGCTCCATCTTATCCTGACAGGTGGTCAAACTCAAGCATACCAGGAATCGCTTCAAGATCAGGTTGTTCTTCTGCAGCAATCCTTACTTCTCTAACACAGTGATTGTTAAGGAATATCGAGCTAACATCAATGGTGAGATGTTACTAAGAGACTGGATATTTGACATGGGTGACAGGTAACTGGCGATGTAATCTGGCTCTGTTTTGCATTCTCACCCCTTAGGCTATAGAGCATATTGTTCCTCTCCAATTAAGTGGCGTCAGGGTTATATGAGTGAAGCTCCAAGGAGCATGGCATATAGCAACAGTGTCAGCATTTTCAACTGGCTTGTGGACCACGACTTTGTAGACAGCAGGATTGCTGAGGTGGTTGCTCACTGGGGAAAGTTCTAAGTGCATGTTGGAAGTTCCGGGGCAACTTAACAGTGAGCTAATTTCTCCTTATTCCTAACAGATAATCTACATATTACCTTGCGACTGAGGCAGCTGAAGATGGAATGGAGAAAGGTGATGAGCAGCCCATGACCTTGGGTAAGAGCATGTGCATAGGGACATGGTTCCTTAATTCCCAAAGGGTGTACCTGAGGTTTAGTGGAGAAAAAAAGGATTTTCTGACAAACTGGCTCACGGTTGTGTGTGAAAACACACATGTAGGCATGCTTTGTGGCCACCCACGCAGATACTAAATAAATTTGAAGCATCACTTCACTTTAATAGACATATTCCTGGCAAGACATGTCAAGTCAAACTTCAGCTCAATACCAGCAAGTTATGTTTGTGTTTCATCTAAGTTTCTTTCACTAATGATTTCAGAAATATCCATGAATATTAAGGTTGTGTTTTTTCCCTAAGACACATTAGGAGTTTAGGTTTTAATAATAGATGTCCTTATATTTTAGTTTTCTTGGACCATGTATTCCTTCAGTGAACACTAGCAATTGTTCTAGAAAAAGGGCAAACAGATTTTAATCTCTCTCATTATGGGAGCACTAATGAAAAGTTACACGTGAGTTTTGGATAGCATTCTATATAGATCCTTTCCATTTTGATACACATTTAGTGTTGTTTTGAGGCAGACATGTGTTCTTATGAATTTGTGTGTTTCAGAGAGCTTTTCATTTAGAATGGAATCTGCTGGAGATGTGTAAAAACCCTGAAAATCCTGGTATGGAATATATGAGCTTGTCTGCCACATGACAGAAGGAAGATACAGACCTCGAGTGCCAGTTGGGAACAGCTGTGTTAACCTAAACTAATACAATAAATTCTGTAACGTGCATGTTGTGTGTGTTCGAGTGATTCTACAAGAGACTGGGAAAAGAAATGTAGATCAAGTTCACATGAAATTTCCTGTTCCAAGCCTTGGATGTGATTTTCTGTACAGTTTTTGGACTAAGACTATTGTAGAGATGGGTTAAGCCTGCCCTCAAATACCAGTGTCAGAATAAGTATTTCAAAATTAGTATTTCAAAACACCTTTTGTATTGGAAGCAGAGAGAAAAGAGGAAGCAGGGATGTTTGGAGTTCTTCTTTGTTGAGTCCAGCTCCTACAACAGAAGCCTTGTGATAAAATGCTCCAAATAAGGGATTAGTGATGCTCTTCCTCACATTTGATATTGTCCTGGGTAGCATATGCAAGAGTCAGTGCAGGTCAGAACTGATTCCAATATACAGTCATCTGGAACTTTTTACAGACTTCCCACATGGGGGTAGGGACCAAAAGTAATACATCTAGAACCTGCTGCTTCTCAGGCCCAAATCAGGGAGTTACATTGGAAATGGAGCAGCCTGGAGTAGACTACTGTGCATATGGGATACCAGCACTACAGTCAAAGGATTAACTTTCTTCCTTGCTGCACAAGCCACAGTTGTGAATTTTATAAGTTTGTAATATTCTATAGTGGATAAGAACCACAATTTTAACATACACTTAACTATTGATTGACTTCCAGAATCTCTGTCTTAGTTCACATGAATTGATTTGCTAATTACACGATATTAAAAGTAAGCCTTCCATGCCTTGGTTTCATTTGGAGTAGCTTATTCCCATGATTGTGATGGCTGGATTACACACTGTTGGTGGGATAGCCAACAAGTCCTCAATTTGGTAGAATAGAAAGTGTGCTGATATCTGAATATGGGCAATGATATCTTAAATACCAGCATACACCAAAATCCTTGAGGTGTTGATTTTTGCTTTTTTTTTCGTTTTTTGAAATTTTAACTGTAGTACTGATTTTTTCAGTGGTTTTCAAAAATCAATGACAATAGAATTTCTCATAAACATTTTTTCATGATTTTCAATATATGAAAGATTAAATGCCACCTTACAAGAGTACAAATCTAAATTTTAAGAGGCCACAATGTGAACCTATTAAATACTTTACCTGGGGAATATAAATGTATTAAAAATGTTATTGGAAAATTGAAAAAAATGTTAGGAACTGAAGCCTGGAAGCAATTTCAGTCATGCACAGCATTAATTAATTAATTAATTAATCTCTCAGCTCTATATTTTATTTCTAATTTTCTTTTTTATTTTTCAATTTTTATTATATTTTTGGAAATCTTTACATAGTTAATTAGAGAAAAAAGTTCAAGGGCTACAGCAAAGTGATTAACGCTTTTATTTCTGCATTTTCTCCGTCATGTATCCGAGGAAAAGGGGGTTATAAGGGAGAAGCCCAACCCAATTTCCCACCTCCCCAGGTCCTAGATGTGGAGCATCCTCTGAGATTCTTGCTTGAGTGGTTGTGATAGTTCACTGGTTATGAATCGCTGCCAGTCTCCCCACTCCAAGCACAATGAGATCG